TATGTATAATGCTTTCTCCGCTGCTGTACCTGCCCTACGTAACATTCAGATAGCCCAAATCACCTTAGCCTTCCAGAAGGCTGTTAAAACTTGTGTCTTCCACAAGTAATATGGCAGCTCAATTTATGTGAGTTATGGACTTGTTATGTAGTGCTTAGGTTATTTTTCCCCTTGTATTGTACTATTTGAATTGCTTATGGATTTCACCATTATTCATAGAAGAAATGGAGAGTTTTACATACTTGAACTTCATCATCCTTTCGGATGGGCATAGAGCGAACATTGTACTTCTGCCTCAATTCTTTGGACAGGGGTGAAGACATGATCTTCCTCCGAATGTGAGATGGAGCATTGAAGTGCCGTTTGCGATTCTTGCTGCGATCCGAAGTCACAAATGGATTGAACTTCATTTTGACTGGAGAAAACACACATCAAGAAATTAAGCATTCACTAAGAAATATATTAAGATTGCAACTGTCAGTTGCAATTCCAGGTGCAATTCAAGGTGCTGGTTATCACTATTAAAGACCTTCATGGTTTAGGACCATCTTCTCCCAGTTGTTTCTTCCAATCCAATTTGGTCCAGCAGGCTGGACATGTTACAGGCCATACTACCAAAGTCAGCTGGAATGTCAGCTGGAGTGAATCAGAACAAGTGCCTTCTTGCCCTATGAACATTTTCCCTTCAGAAATTAAGATGACTCCAATCATTTTGGCTTTTCATATGCCCACAAACACTTGGTTGTGTGCCTAGGCCACAAGTGTGTTAAAGGTCTGTTTCTTGGCTGTATTAACATCCATGGCAATAGTTCTAATTACTTTCTTTTGTTACAACATATTTTGTTTCTATATTTTAGGATGTATGCAGTCCAGAGTCACTTGTTGAGATGGAAGGCTATAAAAATCAAATAAATAAACAAATGGTAAGCCCAACTGGACTTGGGCAGACATAATTGTAGTATTTTTAAGACAAGAGTATATTATTGTCAGAATATGTAGGTAACATCACCTGTATCTATGGGAACTTGAAGCTACTTTTGCATCTTGGACATAAGTGTGGGGACATGACAACTGAATGCCAGTTTATAAAACATACACAAACTATTTCTTTCCTGCTCTAACCATGTCCTACAATATGCTCTCTATATGCCTGAGGTTTATGAATCTTCAGTGTAGTATTTCTAATTATCAACATAACCAGCAAAATCATGAAATACCTTATTGTCTTTGGTAAATATTATTCTACCTACAATAATTAGCTTTCTTATGTATATTTGCCATTATGTCTCTTAAAAGTAAAAAGCTCAGATGGTGACCTGAAAACAACAATGTAACTTACAAAAAATCCTAAACAGAAGTATTCCTAGGTTCCATTATGTTCACAATACCTTACTTCTTTGCAACTTTATGTAAGATGTTAAATACTGAAATATTGCAGGAGTCTTAACGATCCTCAAATAAATAATGTTAAACACTTTCATTGGAGCGACTAAGCAGACAAATTTTGAAAGGAGCTCATTTCCCCAGTATCAACCCAGGGAGAGGGGGGGGGCATAAGTATCGAAATGAAAAACAGCAAGGCACCTTAGAACGATTTGAAGCTACTGTTCTAAGCTCTCGTCTTGCTGAGGCTAAACAACAAAGTCTACACTGAATAGAACAGAATAAAACTTTGTCACCTTAAATGCATACGAATCAGCATACATTAAAATATTTCGTTGCATTCAGCTCTCAAAATATAACTATTATGCATATACCACCTACACACACACACGACACAAGAAACACCAGTGTCTAGTTCGAATGTATACATATACACGGCGAAAATGTGCACTGTCATTCAAACAAGACCCTAGCAGCAGATTGAAGACAACATGCCCTAGCAACCTCTACTAGGGGACAGATTTTACCGGATCTATCAGGCTCCCAAAGGAGCGAAAGATCGGCGGACAGAAGGGCCGCCGCAAAAACGATGTTCTGAAGTTTCTACTGCTTAAAATACAGGAGCGGCAACAAAAGACTATCCGTTTTGTGCATTTCCCCACAAATCACAACAGATAATCTACCGCCAACGAACGGATGACAACGGATTACCAAAACCCACCCCTCCATTTAATCTTTACCTCCAGCTCGATAGGCTATGGCCGCCCGGAAAGAGCTTGCTCCTACTTCCGCCGGTTCTAGTGAGGTCTCCTCGTGGTCTCGCGAGAATTGCTTCACCTCTGAGAATGTTTTGAGTGGAAAGATGTGTAGGTCGGCGCCACCTGGCGTCCAATGAGATGTAATAGCAGGTGGTGCTAAGCGTCTCAATTCCTATATTGTCAATGCAACCCCTCCCTCCCGTTCTCTATTCAGACTCATATCCCTTTCACCCGTTCGTACTTTCTCTTTCCATTCGCAAAATCCGCATCCTATTTATCAGTTCATTCAACTTTCACTCATTCCATTCCTCCGTCGCCCATTTCTTGCGACTGTCCCTTCCGTTCAGCGTCCCCCTTATTTAGGACTCAGGAAAAGTTCTTATTGGAAGGTGTGCGAGCGCGGTGGCGGCTGTGCGGTTGGTGACGAAATGGAAAAGGCCGCAAAAGGTAAAGAAACAGCAATGTTTCTCTTTCACAAATATGAACGATCCCTCTCAAATTGCGAGGCATTTTTAAGAGATTGAGTTTCAATTGGATCGTATTCACTAGGCGCAATTTCCAGTTTGGGAGAGAGAAAAGTTTGAGTTGGATCCAAGGAGCCAAGCGTGGATACAAATAATGTATGATTAGTAAAGGTAAAGGTTCCCCTCGCACATATGTGCTAGTCGTTCCTGACTCTAGGCGGCAGTGCTCATCTCCGTTCCAAAGCGGAAGAGCCAGCGCTGTCCAAAGACGTCTCCGTGGGCATGTGGCCGGCATGAAAAACGCCAGGCGCACAAAAAGTTGTTACCTTCCCACCAAAGGTGGTTCCTATTTTTCAACTTGTATTTTTACATGATTTCGAACTGCTAGGTTGGCAGAAACTGGGACAAGTAATGGGAGCTCACTCCATTACGCGGCACTAGGGATTCAAACTTCTGACTTTTCTGATCGACAAGCTCACCATCTTAGCCACTGAGCCACCATGTCCCACAATGTATGATTACTACTGTATAATACAGATTTGGCATGAGCTCTTGCCAAATTCCTAGAAACAGCTCACTTGCATTTTCATACAGATTTTAACCAACAACGAATTAAAACTGGAATGATTGACAGAGACTTTAACTACATGAGATTTTGAATGTTCATTGATAGTTCTCCCCAGTGGTGTATTAACCATTAAGCAAACTAAGCACCTGCTTAGGGCACTAGGCCTAAGGGGGCACCCCAAAGGAAAAAAACCCAATGAAGATTTGTACAGTATATACAAAGGAGGGGGGCACCAAGATTGGGCATCCTTCAGATGCCATCAGCCAGACAGTGTCGGCTGCGGGCCCTCGGAGGAGAGCCTTCTCTGTGGCTGCTCTGACTCTCTGGAACCAGCTACCCCCGGAGATCCGGACCATACCCACTCTCATGACCTTCAGGAAAACTGTAAAAACTTGGCTGTTCCGGCAGGCCTGGGGCTGTTGACCTCACTGTTGAGGTCCAGCCCCGATTAGAATGAATGTATGAGGTGTTGCTGTTTTTGAACTATTTCTTTCGTTATGTTTTGTTATTTTTTTTTCTCTTTATTTTTGTAGGCCGCCCGGAGTCCTTCGGGATTGGGCGGCATATAAATGTGTCTAATTTATTTGTTAGGGCTTAGGGCACCCAGTGAACCTTAATCTGCCACTGATTCCCTGACTGCAATGACATCACACATTAAATAAATTAAATTCAAGAAAGAAAAGGATGGGGGAAAATCAGCAAGAATTTCAAGATGAGAAAAATATCTTTTCTATACCTGCAACAAAGTAAAAATAGACATGTTGGGCAAAGTGAAAGAGCATGCATTTCTACAAATTTGTTCCACTAAACTAATGGGACTTACTTCCCCAAAAAGAACCATAGAACAACAGGTAAATGTTTTCCGGCCCAAAGCAGTTTAATCATAGCATATTGATTTGACACTTTCAAATTTTAAAAGGTCACCCTTAAAAAGACCACGTGTTATTTTGACAGCAAATAACGGTTTCAAAATTGTAATATCAGTAATCTTACTGTTTCTTTTTAAAGGTACAGAAAAACTAGAGAACACATCATTTGTATCCATCTTAGGTGATATAAAATGTACAAAGCTTTCCCAAATTATGAGTCATACTGTATATCAAAAGAGTTGTAGTTATGAAAATCAGTGGGTTCTACTGAGAGCCCCTATAAATCAATGCCAACACCATATAAAAAGTATTAACTTGAATGATATTTGCCTTATTACTTTGTCCCCACATTCACCTGCAGAATGGAATAAACAATTATTTTATACTCAGAACAGATACAAAAGAAAATGTTCACACAGAAAATGTGTTTCCTTTTATACAGTGTGGTACCTAGCTCTTAACAATCATCAAAGTAAGTGCTTGCCTTTAAGGCAGCCAGTTTGGCAAATGCTTGAAGATTAACATTTTAAAGATGAGCAGGATATTGTCCAATGTCTTGACTTCCTGAAGATAAAGACAACTATATTTCCAGTATTTATGAAAGACACTCCTCTTTTTTTAACATGATGCTCTTCTATCCAATTGGAGTATTGACCAAGTATTGTCTTCATTGCTTTTCCTTTAAATTAAAATTTTTGACCTGGATAGCTGAATGATCTGTATCATTCAAAAAGTAAGAGAGAAGTCTCACAAATACAAATTACTGTCATCTTTTGGCGAATTGTGCTAGAGAATCAAATCCCGGTAAGATTAAACCTTTTAAATGGTCACCCAGGGAGGAGTTTCTCAGCTGCCCAAAAGATAACAAGATCATAGCTTTTTTGGTTTCTATTCATCTGGAAATACATAATGCAAAAAGATAAATAAGACTCTTCTAAACATCTGGGCTAGGTTTTAAAAAAAAATGAAATCAATATTATTATTCAGTAAAAACAGTACAGTAGTCTTCGATTTACTATCATAATGGAGCTTGGTCATCAAGATTGTAAATCGTGAGTCATAAAACAAATGATGTGGTCATAAAGCAGCCACTGCGATCATTAAGAGAAAGTCACGGTCATTAAGCAAACCAATGGTTCACTATCAATGCAGTTTTGCCAAAAATTGAAAGTAACTTTCAGGTTTTGGCCAAATCGTCATAAATGCAGTCACATGACTGTGGATGCCACAAATGGCTGCAAATGTGGCCATGTCAGTAAATGCCCGAAATTTAGCCATGTGACTCCAGGTGACCTATCATTGGAACTTTGAATATGGGTCGTAAGCAGTCCTAAGGTAGGTTTGTTGTAACTTCAAGCAGTTGCTAAACGACTGGCTATAAGTCAAGGACTACTTGTACTGTATGATTCAGTTCTATAATTCTTGGATAAAATCTGAGTTACATAACAAATCTTGCCCGAAGTTGCCTTTTTGAGATTTTAGATCTGTCAGATCTAATTGTAAAACATAAATGACAATAAACCCCCCACAAAACATTGAATGAGAATGGTACATATAAAACCACATTCCCTTGCAAATGATGCTCATTTTCAAAGACTCTGATTGATTGTTTGGGAGGTTTATTTCTGCACCCTTATGTTTCCAGCGGTTTGTGTGACATTTGTCAACTGAGATGATATGAAGAAAAATTGATAGCTGTGGGCTCTTTCTTCTATGCTTTTCACAAGGTTAGGCTGAAGATTGCTTTGTTACTGCATCTTTCCTAGTTGGATCTTTTTCCAGGCTTCAGAGGCTGTAAAAATGCAGGAGTCAAGAATCCCAGCCACAGTAAACGTTCCACCAATGATGGCACAAATCTGAAATGGATAAAGAAGAAGGAAACGTTAAATACTGTTTGCCTTCCCTGCTCTGCCCTCCAACTTCCTTCCCCACAACTTCAAAAAGACCTCAGGCATACAACTGCTTTTTATTCTTACTTTTTAGTGAAACATGCTAGATGCAGTTAATTAAGTTTAATCAATGAATTGAATAAAAATTTCAACCTTTTCTTAAATACACTATAAAATACCTTAAGTGTTGTAGTGTTTTTCTGAATTCTTTAGATCTTAGTAAACATTCCCCTTAAAAAATCACCAATGCGTGCTTCTCAACATCATTTCTACCTTTCATCTTGTTCTTCCTGATTACATTAGAACCACATTAGGTTGAGATCATGTCATTTTAGTGCCAAATATAGTACAATATAGCACAGTGATGGTGAACCTTTTTGTAAGTGTATGCCAAAACTGTGCGTGTGCACCCCGCAGATAAGCGTGCAACCCCCTGTGGATGCGCGCATGGCCCCCTGTGTGTGTATGTGGGAGTTTTCCCCCTCGAGGCTTCAGGAAACCCTCTGGAGCCTGGGGAAGACAAAAAACGGGCCCAGCGGACCAACCAGAAGTTTGGAAATGATTCGTTTCCAGCTTCCGGAGGGCCTCTGGAGGGCTGGGAGATGGCCGTTTTCATCCTCCCCAGGCTTCAGAAAAGCTTCCAGAGCCTGAAGAGGGCAAAAAATGGGCCCAACAGGCCAACTGGAAGTTCAGAAATGATTTGGTTGGCCTGTTGGGCCCA